AGTCCAGTCCAGTCCAGTCAGTCCGCTGGGGGTATACCCCAGCTGCAGTCTGTTTTTCGGATCATTCTTCACTTGCACATTTTGGAGTACGTGCGTGTTTGAGTCCGGGTCGGAGCTGCGCTGTCCTTCCAGCTCCATCTCCAGCTCCTTCTTCCTCACCCCCTTCGTCTCGAGCTTGACGGGCCGCCATACCGCCGGGCCCGTCACACACGCCTCTTCCCATTAGGGATGGAAAAGCCTCAGCCACTGCTCCCCTGGAGATAGCTTCCCTGTATAACACGAATATAGCATGATCACGGGGCATTGATTGCTTCCCCAGTGGGGCCCAGTGGGGAAGGATTAACCCCGTTGTGTGCAGAATCAAGCTCTGCCCTATACTCCTCAATCATCTGCACAGTGAGGAGTGGGGGAGATACCATTAGGGCAAAGAGAATGATAACAGGGCAAAAGAATTTAGTGATTCACAAGTAATTAGGTCGAGCTTCCCGTGAGCAACAGTAGTTAACACAGACGCAAACCGAAGGGGAGCACAGTAGTTGGAAGAAAATTCTAATCTATAACTACAGATCATCAAACCTCTTACGAGGGGATTGTCTGCTCACCAAAACTCAATGATGCAGGCAGTTAGCACATCACAACCCCTAAACCCCTGAGGGCGTGCCACATGGCTAAACCGAAGCACGTACTCATCCAATTAGAAGGTCACCCCCCTGGGCTCAGATTCAGCACGCTAAACTGCCATGGCGTATACATTGCAAATCAAATAAAATCTCAACATCAAACAACTCCGGTCAATCAGAACCGCTTAGATCAATCAGAATGTAAGCAGCGCAAGAACGCCTAGGCGAGGGCGCCTAAGAAAACCTTGAAAGTTCCGATGAAAGAATACAAACCACAGACGATCATGGAATCTGATCACGAGAGTTAGTCGTAAGAAAGAAGAGCACCCTGCCCTGTTAGAACATCAAATCCCAGCCCAAATATGGGGATCACAAAGGTGAGCGCCCCCCATGCCATCAACGATTCCATTTCCTGTCCACTCGCATCACCCTTATTGCATCACGATAACCAACTGCCAATGATAGGAGGATCCACTGATACAAAACCCACCCGTTCTAAACTGCCCACACACGCGTGGTTGGTTGTGACTCAAAAAGCGTTTGTGAATTGAATAGCACATCAGTTTCATCAGATGTCTTCTTAATGCCCATAAGAGCTGGTGTCGTCGTTTGTGAATTAAATGGATCACCTGAACCGTCAGATGTCTTCTTGATGCCCGTAGGAGCTGGCGACATGGTCTGTGGATTGAAAAACTCACCAGATCCGTCAGATGTCTGCTTGATGCCCATGGTTGCTGGTGTTTTTGTTTGTGAAAACTGAACTTGAGTTTTAGACACCCCCGTTGATGGTGCTCCCCTTTTAACAGCCGACTCCAAGGTGCATGTGGGAGCACTCGCTTCCTTTGTTATTGATGTTGTAGATGTGATGATGTGTGAATCCACCCGTGGATGGCTGGGAAGCAGTTACGCCTCCCCCAACGAAAGATCCACTAGTGGAGAAGCTGCTGTACGTTCATTTAACAGGTCTATAACGCATAGCGGGTCACTTACCTCAGATGTAGATATTGATGTTGCCATTGTGATTGGTAGATGAAGAGCGGACTGCGGTGGCGATGGTGACAGCGATTGACTGAGGAGAGAGTGCCCGTTAGCCACCATACTCGCTTGCAGCTCCCCTCCCACGCTCTTTACCAGTGCAACTCCCTGAGCACACCCCAATTCGAAAACTTTGTAAGATTCGCTGATCAGGGCATCCATCTGGCTCCTTTCCGCAACTGCAGCAGGCCGACAGTCGTACCCCTCCTCCAATTCCTCAATCACCTCCAGCATTTCCTGCATGGTTGCTTTTACCCGCCCAACCAGTGAGATTGTCCTCTCATCGATCTCAAACCTAGCTAGATCTTGCAAAGAGAAAGAAGCCGCCATCTCGTTCAATCGTCCTTGACCAGCATACAGGATGGCACGCATACAGCACATGATGGAGCTTGCACACTCCGCGGCGTTCTTATTGAACCCCCGCTGCCGAGATGTTCAATACTTCTCTGCGCAGCTTGACCAGTACCACACTTGGCTTGTTCGACAAGCCAAGAGGTATCTGTTGTCTCATACAGGCTTCGACGAGGTGGGTGCTCATTACCTTGAGGTATGTCCGCAGTTCGAGGACTTCCACATGCAGCAGGGTAGGTATGGGATATGGGGTGGGGAAGAGGGCCGCGTTCGAGCCCGTAGTTGCAGTGGGGATCGCGAGACGGTGGATTGTGCGTCGTGGTGGTCTAAGTATGGGGGAGACACGCCTAAATTACAGTATTGCGCCCTTCATGTGACGCACATGTGGTCCTGCGCATCTCCTGCGGAGAGGAACAGGGCGGTCCACGAGGGCATTCACACGAAGAAGCGCAATGAGTTGGCCTTCGAGAAGGTTGTTCATCTTGTCGAGATCACCGCAAATGTGCGGTTGATGGAGTACAGACGTGCATGTTGTGGATACGTCCTCCCTTGGCAGCGAGACGAGGGTATGCTTGACGCTCAGGCGGGGTTGGAGGTCGACCTTGTGCGTTCAGGGACGAGGAGTGGGATGACGGAGGAAAAGATCGAGGAGCAGGCTGCCCTCATTTCGCACGATCCCATCGGGTCCTTTGCGCTGCCCTCGGTTGAGTCTGTTTTCGGTGCTCGTTCCACCATCTTCCGTCCGTACCTCAGGGAGGACTAGCCCGGGGACGAGAGGGAGCCGGAAGCCGCGGACAACCCCGCGCTTCCCGTCTCGTGGGAGATTGATGAGTTGCACGAGGAGGGCGATGCGGGTGACGAGAGGACGCGCACCACGCGGAGGGCGGAAGACTAGAGAGACATAGATATGATGGGGTTCGAGGAGGATCTGTGGGGATCTTTCACGGGTGCAAAGGAGAGATTACCCACTATCGCGCAGGAGCATAAGAGTCCTCTCATGACCTTGCGGGAGGAGAGGCCTGATCCCATGACTCCGAGCGAGGAGCCGCATCTTGCCACGACATCGTGCAAGCAGACGACTGTTCCCTCGACCGTGCAAGAGCAAACTCCTGCTCCCACGACCACGCGGGACCAGACGAGCACTCCCGCAATGCAGTCCGGACCCTAAGTATCGTTGAGTCATCCTTGTCATTATGTCCCGCCACCCACTCCGACCCCTCCCATTCCGCATGACGAGCGCTCACCTGCACTGGTTTGGAGGGAGGACTTGGGTTCCTCGTTGCACAAGCGCGGGCACGGATCATTGTTTAGTGTAGCCCGTCAACTCGTTTTGGACGCGCCTGCATTGGGGGACTTGGAGACGGTGGGTGTTCATATCGGGGCACCAATGATGGCGGAGAAGGTGCGACGAGCGGAGGAGCACAGAGCCGCCGGAGCGGGCGGAGTTGAGGGTATTGGGGGTATGGCGGAGGAGGCAGGTGGAGCAGTGGAGATAAGGTTGTCGTCCACGGTAGGGGAGACCAGGGCGGGGCGATAGAGCGCACGTTGGCGTAGATGAGCAAGGTGGGGACTTGGAGGAGGTGGGTGTTCAGAGCGGGGCGCCAGTGATGGAGGAGAGGGTGCGAAGAGCGGAGAAGCACAGAGCAGCCGGAGTGGGTGCAGTTGAGGGTATTTAGGGTATGGC